CCCACAGCTCTAGGCTGTCCTAGACTTTAGAGAAAACACTCCAACAATTAGCAGTTGCACCAAACTACAATTCTCAGAAAATACTTGGGGGGTGTAAAACACACATACATTTGGAGTATATGGCTAGATATGATTCTAGACTGCCCAGAAAGAACAGAGACAGTATAGACTGAACACCAGTCACTGTGGAATTACAGAAGAAAAAGACAATTGTCCTCCTCTCCTAGCTGTCTGCTTCAAGAGGCATATTGGGAAATGAACTAAACAGTCCTTTGGTCTTAATGACCATAGCTATTTTTATGTCCTTAAGTGGAGGTGGATCCAATGCAACATATCATCAGAATAGGATAAATATTCACATACAGAGATACACTATGCCAGCTTCCCATGCCGAACAGCAATATTGCACAACACATGTCAATGACTGGGTGCTATTGTGCAATGCACAATGCATCACAATTGCTCTATGCACATATCAGCTGCACTACAGTGAATAATTCACCCACATGCATACTGCAACTGACACATGCAACTAACAGAGTGCCAGATGATATATCCCAAGGCACACAGTTTCTCAATAATCTCTACAGAAGAACCAAAGGTGGCATGCTTTGTTTTGTGAAGGGATCTTGTGGGAAAGGCATTGTAGCATACGCTTTCTTGGGCTTGGTCTCCTTCCTCAAATGCAAGGAGTAGACTGATGCCCAGGAAGGAACTATATAATCAGACTGTATGAATAGCCATAGAAATGCAAAACATGTGGGTATGGTGAGATGACAAGGTCAGTTTTAACTATGGTCACTGAGGCAGGAGTGAAGATGTTGCCTAAGGCCAAAGTGGGTGGTTGACCACATGAATGGTGGAGTTTTGACATTTGTTGTTCTTCACTGCCCTTGAATCGGCTTCGACTATGGTGGCCCTGTGAATGAGACATAGCCAAGACCCCTATTCTCCACTGTTCTGCTCAGGTCATTCAAACTCAGGCACATAGTGGTAGGGGAACCTCATACACCTGACTTCTATCCACGATATATAGTGGATAGTATATTATGCAATATAATGTATACTATATCATATATAATATAATACTGTAGATATATTATATGGTGTATAATGACCTCTCTGACTGAGTCCATCCATCTGGTATGTGGCCTCCTTCCTCTCTTTCTACTACCTTCTACCTTTCCTATCATTATTGTCTTTTCCAATGATTCATGCCTTCTCATGATATGGCCAAAACATGATAGTCTCAATTTAGTCATCCAGGGAGAGTTCAGGCTTGATATGTTCAAGAACGCATTTCTTTGTCTTTGTGGCCATCCATAGTATATGTTGAATAATGTCTCCTATCATCCCCAGCCAACATGGCCACTACTGATTGGGGATTAATGGGCTTGTAGTCCAGCCACATCTAGAATCTGCCAGACCAACAAAGGTTATGTAAATGGGTCAACTGTTACTCCCATGATAAGAATAGCAGTATTATGAACAACCAGAGTATTTCGCATCACCATGTACAGATGTGAGAGTTGGACAGTGAAGAAAACCAATAGAAAGAAAAACAATTCATTTGAGATGTGGTGTTGGAGAAGAGTGCTAAGGGTACCGTGGGCATCCAAAAAGACAAATAAATGGGTCTTAGAACAGATCAAACCTGAATGGTTAAGGACAAGGGGTCTTGGAGGTATTTCATTCATGAAGTTGCATTGAGTCAAGGTTGACATGGAGGCAGCTGGCAAAAACAACAACAACGAGGCATATTTCAGTTACTTGGTGCAAAGATGAGACATACTCTTAAGAATTGGTCCTCAGAAAGCAATAAATTATTATTATTATTGTTATTATTATTATTATTATTATTATGTATTTATACTAGACCTATGTTGGAAGATATGACAATCATGATGTTACGTAATATTCCCTTAGAGGTGAGGCTTTTGAATTCAGTCCCTAAGGTGTGTCCTTTGCTTGTTTAACAACATTGCTTCTTAAGTACAGAAGCAAACATCACCCAAACCGTGAGAATCGCACCAGTAGCCAAGCCAAGGAAAGCAACTGCTTATCTTTCCACGTGTGCCACAAGTGTGTGAAATTCCCACAAGTGACTTCCCATTGAGAGTGAAGGAGTCTCTGTGCGGATGATGGCACGGCTTGGGCAGTGGGTTGGCTCCGTATGCTATTTGTCCGTTCACTCCTATTTAATGGAGTAAGAAAATAATTGACCTGGTACAATAAAACAAATAAACAAACACAAAGACAAGCCATGTTGGTTTTTAGGAGAGAGAGAGAGGAGAAAAATCCAAAATTCATTGGGTGATACTCTTATTAAGACTGTCCCACCAGAATATCACAAAAGCATGAAAGCTTTGGCATCCTCCAGGAAAGCTGGTACAAACCAACAAAGGAGTGAATGAATATAGAAAGAAACAACAGAAGTCCAAACTTCAAGCCAGATGTTGCGATTCTGAGATGTGCATTCTCAAAATAAAGATTTGTAGGCAGAATGGATTAGTAAGTGGTATGTGTTGCAAGTATCAGACTACACCTATCAATGTATTATGAGAAAGGGAAGTAATCGATGATCAGTTTCCAAAAATATAAAGGTTGGCAGTTCAGAGCTGCCTTTTGTCTTATGCAAAATGCATAGCCTAATAAGAGTTCTACAGAGCTCCAACTTGCATCCTTTTGTGCATTATGGTTGGTCACAGAGCCAAAGAATTGGAGCATACACAAAGGGTTAGCAAAAGACTATGCTAGTCTGGAATATCAGTATAAAAGAGAACTTGGAGCATTTTTGAGACTGAGTGAAAGAAGTTGTAGCATAAACTTTCATAGTTTGGGGGTGCACCTGTATTTGCTGGTGAAACGTCAGAAAAAAACTCTTCTAGAACATGGCCACACAGCCCGAAAAACCCACAAAAAACTATGGGAAACCCATTGAGTGACCTTGGATATGTCACACACTCTCAACCACAGAAAACCCTGTGAGAAGGTTGCCGTAGGGTTGCCACAAGTCAAAAATGACTTGAAGGCACATAACAACAACAACAACACAACTTATACACATAGTCTTAATGCAATTTTATACAATATTTTCAATAATTTTGTGCATGAAACAGAGTTTGTGTACACTGAACCATCAGGAAGCAAAGGTGTCTGTCACTACCTCAGCCACTTGTGAAAAAGGTTTTAGATTTTGGAGCATTTTGGATTTTCAGATAAGGAATACTCAACCTGTATTTTAAATTATTTAAACTGGTTTTAAAATGTCCTGCTTTCAGTGTTACATCATTTAATATGCTTTTAGTCTTTTAATATTATTGGTATTGTTTAAAACTGTTCTAAACAGATTTTACTGTAGGCTGCCCTGAGATCTTTATATATAGGATATAAATATTTTAGTAAACGATAAACTATTTAAAGTGAATACACAGTATAGAACAATGTCAGCATTTTGTTCCGTCTAAACTTTACATGTTTTAATGTATTCACCCCCTTTCATTAATGTGAGTGAAGGGATTTGCTCGAAAAGCGAGATGCAAATCCGCTAGATAATGTAACTTAAGAGACAACATACACTTGTGGCCAACAAACACACACACCCATTTTGGAGTGAGTCCCATTCAACCCAGTGAAACTTATGGTTAAGGACCTGGCAAGAAAAGAAAAAAGTTGTGAAATAGAAACTGCTTGGTTCAAATCTTCTCTCGGTCATGCATATTCGGGAGAGGGCCTTAGCCACAGAACCTGGCAGGATCCAGCTTGCTGTCTCTTTGGAGCCAAATATTCCTTCCCAACCATCACATTTTCTAGATGTTCAACCAGTTCAATGACTAGATGATTGGCAACTTTTCAAAAGATCACCAAGTCAGCTATACGCAGTTGGGTAAGACCCATGTTAAGACATTCCTTTTTGAGTTGAATAGGCTATTTTAGAGGGTGGTGGACTCTTTGCTGGAGGCTTTTAAATGGAGGTTTGTTGGCCACCCATTGTGGGATGTTTTAACGGTGAATTCCTGCACAAGCAAAGGTTGGACCATCGCCTCCAACTCTCCCAATCGGCAGAGACAGTCCCAATTCATCCTCTGTCGTCTCACTTTTCCAGCTGCTTTAAAAATGTTCAACTTTCTCTCTCCTCCTCCCACTTTCCCCATTTGTCCTCTGCTTACTTCCATCGCTGCAAACTAAGGAGCTTGTCGCACCTGAGCCGGCTTAAAATTTAAAATGGGGACGCCATCCAAAATTGTCGCCCAGGTCCATCCCAGGTCCATCCCCATTCCCAGGGGTGCTCAGTGCACCTCTTTTCAAAGCCAGGAGTTTTCCAGTTTAATGAAATGGCCACCAAAGCAGTACTGGGAGCAGGGTTGGACCCGGGCGGCAATTTCGGCGGCTAAATCCTTCTGATAACATCAGGATGCATCCCGTTTTAAATTTTAAGCCGGATCAGGTTTTATTATTGGTGCAATAAAGTCCTGAGTTTAAAGTGGAAAAATCATTTGCACTCAATTAACTCAGCTGGTGAGGGAGAGAGGAAGGCCCAGAATCTTGTCCTTCCCAACAGGCTTAGGCAAAAGCAAACTGCTGCAGCCTCTCCTATCTTTTGTGCTCTTCCTTATTAATATGTTTTGCCATCTTGGCCACACATGTCCAATTTTCATCTGTTAAATGTTGGAGGGTATGTTGGACTCTTGCAAATCAATCTTGTAGCACCTTTGAGATTACCCGAGCGAAGGAAGTTGTAGCATAAGCTTTTGGACACTCGGTCTACTCCCTCAGATGCATAAAGTCGCAGCATAAGCTTTCATAGACTGGGGGTGTGTCTACACTGTAGAAATAATGCACTTTGACACCCCGTAAAGTGTTGTAGCTCCATCCTATGGAATCCTGGGATTTGTAGTCTTACGCGGTCTTTAGTCTTCTCTGCCAAAGAATGCTGGTGCCTCACCAGCTTCCTCAGAAGCTGAGAGTGTGTGACTTGCCCAAGATCAAGTGAGTTTCCATGGCTGAATGAAAATTCGAACCCTGGACTCCAGAATCTTAGTCTAATGTGCAAACCATTATACCATGCTGCCTCTTCTATTTCCTCTGCCTGCACAAAGTAACAGTCTCTGGGGGCAACTAGGATCTTAGCACATTGGATTGGTTTAATGCTTTCTATTTGGCTGTGGTTCCAACAACCCCCCTTCTAAGCATGTTGCTCTTAGTTCATGGTCTAATCTGCACTGCAGAAATAATGCAGTTTGACACCACTTTAACTACCACAGCTCAATGCTATGGAATTCTGAGATCTCATTTTGTGAGATATTTAGCCTTCTCTCTCAGAGAGCTGAGGTGCCATAAAAAGACTACAAATCCCAGGATTCCATAGCATGGATCCATGGTAATTAAAGCAGTGTCAAACTGCATTATTTCTGCAGTGCAGATTAGGCCAAAGTAACCAGTCTGCATACGTTTTTACTAGTCTGGCAGAGACTGGTAGAGAAGAGACTAAGCAGTTAAAAGCTTATTTTGGGGCTGGATGCAAAGAAGGGATAAGGCTTTCCAGCTTTCCTCTGCCATAGAGTGACTCATATTGTTTGCAATAGTTTCGATGTTATACAATGATTTTGGCTGGCATCCTGTCAGTGGCTTCTGCATGCTGAAATTCCCCACAGAAACAGATGGACAATTTTTGTCCAGTGCCAAAATCTGCATTCAGTTGAAGCCTCCAGGAGCAGAGTCACATATATGGAACCGCCATTGCACATGTGGTGGAATTGTGCATTGCCCACGCAAGTGTGCGTTACATATTGTATTTGTGCACTTCACATTTCTTTGCACATTTGTTGGAATTTATGACTGCACCATCGTCACGCACGCCTGTGAGTGCAAAGATACGCTCCGTATCCTTGACGTAGGATCTCGATTCGGCTGCAGGAATCTTCCTCGGTGGAACAATATTAGTATCTTCTCCCACCTAATGTATGGTACTGGATTAAAGAATTGCCATAAATCTGTCAGCCCTTGTTCTGCGCTCCACTTCCGACATTCCTGTGGTGTAAGAGATTAGCACATTGGCCTTACGGGTTACAGCTTGGCTCATCCAATGTGGGATTCATTAGTCCCTTAAAATCTCCACCTAAGACCAGCTCTTCTTCCAGAAACCCATCCATCATTTTGAAAAACTTTAGGAACAAAATAAGGAGCCAAGTTCAAAATTAGGTCCCTGAACATATCCTAAAATGGATGTTCTTATTCCATTTTCAACAGCCATCCTTTTTTCAACCCGGTGGCACCGAGATGTTGTGGACTACAGTTCCTAGCATGCCCACAAGCAGGCTTAATGGTCAGTAGTGGTGGGAATTGTAGGCCAACAATATTTAGGGACCCAAAAATAGGAATGCCAGTTTTATGCAGACATACGTTCCCATCCATCAACGTAGTAATTTGCTAGTAAGAACGTAGTAATTTATTAATATAGCTGAAAATTTCACTGAGGAGCTGAGAGCATGAAAACCTGTTAGTAGATTGGTCTGTTGCTTCAGACTGCAAGTGAACATTCCCATGTCTGAATGTTTTTCCTCAAAATAAAAACTCCCAGTACATAGAAAAGTAGTTATTTTTT